ATCATCACATTTCAGCGAGGGAGCATTTCCTCTCCTCCCTCATTATCATTCATATTCGTGCAGGATTCACGGCCTGCCGTCGGGCCGCTGTGCGTTCTGCTCGTATCCCAGTTTTAAGATTTTAATTTGTGTCGGAACTTCAAAAGGTTAAAATACTTACATCAATATTCTCATATTAAGACAATTGAATAAGACGCTGCCTCGTAAACAGTATCATAGAATAAGGATTAATGGATTTTCTGATTTTTTTATGCATTATACAGACATTTATTTGTCTTAATCACATTACTACTCGATCTGATACACGTAAAAAACATCATATGTCCCTGATCCGTCTCCTCTGTCCTTGATATAACTGCGTCTTCTGTCTCTATAAAATTTGACCGAAACTAGTTGTCGTTCTGTCTCATTAAAGCAACAAGAGGCAAAATGTTTTTTTACCACCTTCATCACCTCCTCATTCTGGACCAGAGGACGGACGACCCTGATTTACATGTCGCCGGGAAAACAAAGACAGATTGCAATTAAATCTGTGATCTCGTCAACAGAGACGATTTTACAGCGAGCGAATGAAAAGCGAGACGCGATGAAGTGAAGCGTAAACGAACCCTGGCTCCGATCCCAGGATTTAAAAGAACTGAAACAGATGGATAACAAATTAATGTTGAAAGACAAAGACACTAAATAAAGTTGGAGGACATGACGGCTCCCGAAAGTGAAGCTAGAGTGTCTCCCTTGCCCCCTGGTGGCTGGTTCAAGAATAGATCATAAACCCCCCCGGCACCTCCTCCATGCTAGTGAGCGGGACATGGTCATGAAAGTTTATAAAGTAGAACTGAGACGGATGAGTTGGACGGGTTTACTTTCTCTACGAGACATAAACAGACAACAGGCAGATACAAAAACAAAATGACGACATAAACTAAAACTAAACTTTTAAAAAGTTCATTTAAAAGACTGGAACATTAATTAACACTAATTAATAACTAAGCCTGCTCAGTCACTGGGTCTTCAGCCGCACTTGGCCGCGTCCCAACTCCAACCCTGCTGGGAATTGTGGGTAAAAAGCCTTTAATAATGCTGAGGCGACACGGTGAGCTGAGGTTTGTGATGACGAGTGTGTGCGTGTGTGTGTACATGTGTGTACATGTGTGTGTGTGTCACTGTCACTCAGCACTGATGTGATTAAGCCTAATGACTACACACACTGTCGGCCTCACAGGACTCGTTTTCCCAGAAACCCACAGGGCTGCCTCGAGGCTGTTTCTCCGGCCGTAGTCATTCAGAGTGAAACCAGGGAAGAAAGAAAGTGAACTTTGACCTCATGGATTCAAGGTTGTTTTCTGATGTTCAGCTTTGACTCCTTCCTTCCTTTCTTTCTTTCTTTCTTTCTTTCTTTGCTGCAGGACTGGTGAGTTCAGCCTGCGTGTCGCCGACCCTCAGCTGTTCTCTCAACCAGAAACAGTCCAAGTTCAAGTCGTGTCAATGCAGGTATTTTATTAACACACACACACACAAGTTTGGTATCAGTGTCAGAAACACTTTTTTGATTTATCCATCAAAAATAAAATATATACAGACGAGGAATTATTATAACTAGAGGATTAAATAAAAATGAGTAAATGTAAATACAACAGTCGTGTTTATTCCACAATGTCACGATTCCCTCACTTCAACGACGGTAGAACAAACATCTAATGCTTTGTAAATACAAATGATTCATAATTAACAGAAATTAATAAATAATTACACATTCACAGCTTTGATATTAAAACACACCACACATAGTCAATATATTATGTTCTGCAGGTTTTACAGTGACATCACTTATTAATATATTTCTATGTAGCTGCTGTACGTCCGTTCTTAGAACGATCTAGTTGTATTATAATCTTTTCTATAAGTGAAAATAAATTCTCCCCGTGTTTTAAAGTTGAAACCTTCGACACACAGCCTGGCACATATTGAATATTTAATACGATATATATCATAAAACACAAGCTTCTATAATAAGACGTTTTCTTGTCTGCGCCTGGTGACAGACTTTGATAGATTTGAGACATTTTCCACTCAGGTAATTCCATTTTTATTTGAATTTGTTCCGCACATTTTCAGGTTTGGTGTCATCATCAACCATCTGTCAGTCTCCTCTGTTTATCTCTGTCACACACACACACACACACACACACACACATCATCACATTTCAGCGAGGGAGCATTTCCTCTCCTCCCTCATTATCATTCATATTCGTGCAGGATTCACGGCCTGCCGTCGGGCCGCTGTGCGTCGCTCGTGGCGTCCCTCGGTGGGGACGAGGTCTCGTCTCACAGAGGAATACAGATCAGCTGGGATGACGCAGCAAAAAGTGGAACTCTGTAAACAATGAGCTGTCAGATTTAAGAAGTGACAGAAAACACACAGTATGTTTCTGTATGTCGTGAAACACAGATTCAAGTTCTCCACTGTATTTCCTTTCTGTGCCTCAACACTGGCGCCCTCCAGTGGCTGGAGGCGTTTACGGTTTTTTTGGGTGGTCGGTCCCATTTGTGTTCCCTCGTGAACACGAAATCTGAAAAACGCCTCGAGTGACTTAGTTGAAATTGAATCCAAACGTTCAGTTGGACTCCGGGATAAACTGATTAGATTTTGGTGTTCAAAAATTACAGTTCAGAATCACTGCGACCTCAAGGAACACGAACGCTTCGGGGGGAAAGTTTCTTCATATTTTGTAAAACTGTTGTTCACTTTTTTTTTTCTTTTCTGGCCTCGGGTTCAGATGAGCAGGAGCAGAACACTCTGTTTTCTGACAGTTTGACACGGAAACATGAACAGGCACTTGCAGGTGAACGACATTTTTACAATCCACGAGGCTTGGAGTCAGACGAGGTTGAAATCGACTTGGGAAATGCTGCCACTCCGCCTGTCGTGCCTCTGAATTCCATCCAGCCCCGAACACAGCAGGAAAACAAAATAAAGAGCCAGGGAAAAAAAAAAAAAAAAAGTTTCTCTTAACTTTGTGAACTCCTGCGGAGCCTCAAGTGTGTGTGACGGCAACTCACCTCACCTCTCCCTCACCTGTGAGCTGAGGATCGAAGGGCAGCCCCCCCACCTCGGTTGCCTCAGCGTGTGTGTTTGTTTTCCTCTGCCTCGGGGGTGGGGGGGGGGGGGGGGGGGGGGGGGGGGGGGGAGATTTTGCTTGTTCCCTTTACTGGGCCAGCGTGTCGTAGCAGGATTTAAAGGCAGCACACACACACACACACCCACTTTCCGCCCACAGCAATGCATCCAGAAGCTTTTGTTTCCCTCCCACGAACTGCAGCAGTGGCAACACAGGATTTAGGCACTCGAGGGCCCAGGAGCCTGTCGCTGAGAGATAATTCCTCCGACGCCGAAAAATGTTGTCACCCACCGGCCCCCCAACAGAAACACAAAGGGCAAGAGGCTGCGGATAACGACATGCTCCTTTTGTTGTGTTTAAGCTTCGGTTCGAGTCCCTCAGCAGCAGCAGCGTCACCCAGAGGTGATGTCTCTCAGCGTGACTCTCAGCGTGGTTCTCTGTGGTACCAGCTTGTTTCATGTGGTCCCACTTTGAGGCTGCTGCTGTTAACGGCAGCAACATGGAGCTCGGTCTGCGGCGCCGAGGGCAAACCGAGCCGAGCCGAGCCCTTCATCGAGGGGAGGAGCCCGCGGAGACGCGTGTTTCTGTACCCGAGCTCCCGCCACTGCCAAGCTGAGCCGCCAACAAATGTTTTGGGGACGACACATATTGAAATGATCTGCATCAGTGGCTTTTTTATGGAGCCTCCAACTTCTTCTTTGTTTTCTTTGTCGGATATTCAAACACACACACACACACAAGATCCAAAGTATGAATTCATTTCAAAAACTGGAAGAGCAGACAAAAACTAAAACACCACTACACAACTTCTTAACCTTAAAGGGATAGTTCACCACAAAATGTAAAATTCAGTCATTATCCACTCTTATAATTAGACTCATTAGTATATTATTCTCACCACTATGCTCTGATGGAGGGTCGGGTGAAGTGCTTGAGTCCACAAAACACTTTTGGAGTTTCAGGGGTGAACATGATTGCAGCCAAATCCAATACAAATTACATTTACACCAGGTTTTTAGCCTAAATGTCCTCTGATGTCCTCTGATGTCCTCTGATGTCCTCCTCCTAGTCGCTTCAATCCTCACAAGTTCTCGTCAGCACTAACTTCCCACTCCTCTCCCTGAGCGTCTGTTCTCTGTAACTCTGCTGAGTGGGTTCGATCTCCTGCGAGAAGAACCGACTGAGAGTCACAGCTTCGACTGAATCAGCTCCAGACAGTTGAGGAGTGAAGCTGAACTGTCGATCAGTTCAAAAAACACTGAGAGGTTTTTAACCACCAGAGTTTATCTCCAGTGTTCTGCAGGAAACTTTCAAAATGTGAACGAGAGAATTCAGTCACCACGTGTGGCTGCAGGGGGCGCTGTTCACAGTGTTGCTTTAAGACGTATTCTCTAAATAAATATATTCTTCCTGCACAGACCTGATAACACTATCTGGCTCTTTAGCTGCTACATGTGTCACTTCCTCCACCGGCTCAACGTTTTCTCTCCACGCTCTGGTGTCGAGCGAGTAAATGAAAATCCCTTCAGTTTTATGTGGAAGTGATTCCGTCAGAGAGAGCCGCTGTGATTCTCATTTGATTTGGTTATAATTGCAAAAAATGTCCCTCCATGGATTTTAATCCAAGTCTGAGAATCTCAGAGACGAGAGGAGCAGCCATGTTGTTTCTTACACATATCCACAGAACGAGCGTGAAGTTCCACCTCTGCTCCCGACGAGAGGCCTCCCTCTCTCTGTGTGTGAGCGAGTAGAAACTCTCCCTTCAGCTCCCGTTAATGAGGCTCCGTGTTTAACCTTCATCTTTTCATCTCCTCGGTGGCGGGACACCACGGCCTCCCCCCGCCCCCTCTCCCCTCCCCCCGCCCCCCTTCTGTGCTCCCTGCCAGCCTTGAAAAGTTTTTTTTTAGAGTTTTCAACACTTTAAATTTTAGATCAAGGATCAATCTCTGTGTTGAAAATATTGAATTTTTACTCTAAAGTTGTGGATTGTTCCAATTTTCCCTGAATAAAACGATCCTCTCCTCGTTTTCCTCTGTTTGTTTCCAGCCTCCCAGGGTCACAACTCTCGCTCCGTTACCCGTGAAGGGCCGCGGCGCTGCGGCGACCATCACCAAGTCGGTCCTGCAGCTGGACGACCCCGACAATCCAGCCGACGTTCTGATCATGGTGCTCGAACCGCCCCGCCACGGCCAGCTGACCCGTCTCCACGGTGACCGGGCCCTCAGCCGATTTAAGCTGGAGGAGCTGGCGCGGGAACAGATCCAGTACGTCCACGACGGCTCGGAGGAGTGGGCGGAGGATTGGGCGGTGCTGCAGGTCAACGACGGCCACAGCTACAGGAATATTCTCCTGCAAGTGCACATCAATCAGAAGGTAGGACGGGCAGAGGGGGATGATGGGAGATTGACGCTTCAGGCCCATGATTGATATTGATGTCGTGAATTTTTGCTTTTAAAATTCTGAAGTGATCCTTTATCTTATCTGAATGAATACTGACACACTTGTTTTTTCATGCAGACTCTAAACCATAGACTGTAAATAAAGACGGAGGACAGGACAGCTCCCCCAAAGTGAATCCAAAGCATAGTGATCGCCCCCTGGTGGCTGGCTGCAATTTAGGTCATAAACTTGTGAAAATAAAATCGAGGACTTTAGTTAAAGTACGTGTTAAATAAAAGCTCCTCAGAGATGGTTTCTGCCATGTTCAGTAGTTCTTATCACAAAATGGCTTCTAATAGATGGATTAGAAGATGAAGTGGAGACTCGTCGTCCATCTTTATTCACAGTCTATGACTTAGACCTGGTTTAGTTCAGCGTCTGTAAACAACTGTTGCCTTTCTACAAGAACGGTCGAAACCTCCACAAAGGTGTATAAGACAAGACACTGACTTTGAGCTGCACACATCGAAAGGTGTTTCAGAAGAAATATACTTTTAGATTTAAAGACGTGTTTTAAAGACTCTAATGAGTTAAGTTTGGAGTCGTCCTGCTGCTCAGTTCAAACATTTCTGAGCGTTTTCTGGACGTTACGCAGCCGAGCTGAATCATCGTGTTCGAACCTCAAAGCTCCAGAGGCTCTTCACTGACAGACATTTAGAATCCAGATAAAATGTACTGCTCACCCATCCACACAGAAAACACACAGGCCACATATTTCTGCAGTACTTTGTGTTTTGCGCATGCAGGGTTCAGTATCACTTCAGTTGATTTAAAAGTTTGTGAAAAGATATATCGGTATGACATTTCATAAATGAAAACCATTCTGCATATTTATTATTATTTGATTTGTTTAAAAAGATTCTTGAGTTCGCCGATCAAGTTGTCAGATTCAAGGTAACTGCAGCTGCAACGTTCAATATTCAAAGTCGTTGTTAATCTGAACGAGTTGTAAGAGGTGGAAATTATTAGGTGCTGCACATTTGATTTGTTTTTTTTATTCCCTAATGTGCTTTTGAAACCTTTCTGACATCCAGTGTGTTTGGATCCTTTAATTGCCTGATGTCGAGCGTTCGCGCTGCTTCAACTTGACGTGTCCACGTCGTCTGTTGCCTTTGTCCCCGTTTGTTTAACCACAGTTTAGAGAGAGAGAGAGAGAGAGAGAGGGTCTGCAGCAGTTATCGTTTCACTGTCATCGCTCCTGACGAGAGTTTTATGACAAGGACGCAATTATCTGGCAGCAAGTGCATTCCAGCCTGACCGGTGGGGGGGGGGCAGTGTTTGGGATGAGAGAAAATTTGTCAG